AACAACCTCTATGAAAAGCTTCATGATTCTGCCTTCCTATTTGTCAGTACTTGACTTTGATAAGATAGATGGATAGATATTGCTCTGGTTACCTAGTGCCGCTCTGACAGGAATAGATCACAAATGGAATGGCTTGAACAGTTTATTCTCTTACACTTTGGAGGCTTTAAGCCTGAGTTCAAAGTGCCAGGCTCCAGGAGCTGGGTTAAAGCCCCTCAACCTTGGGCTTCAGCTCTGCCTCTTGCTCCTGGCCCACTCGTTGTTGTTGTTATGTGCCGTCGAGTCCTACCGACTCATAGCAACCCCTCCTTGGGTTGCCGAGGCAGTATCACTACGGAAGTAGATTGCCCAATCTTCCTTCCAAGGAGTGGCTGGTGGGTTTGAACCGCCAGCCTTCTGGTTAGCAGTCAAGTGCCTTAGGCACTATGCTACCAGAGCTCCTTGGCCCAGTGGAGCTAGAGGCTTTTCTTCACTCAAGACAGCTGCTGGCTGCTGAGACTGACAAGCCTAAGGTTGACAAGTAAAAAGGTACAGTCCCGGTGTTACCAAACCACATGGCAGGCCATGAATTTAAGTTCACTGAAAGTCCCAAGGTCGGCAGAGCATGGTAGGCTGCTGAACAATGACATGGCTACACGCAGGGTTCAAACGTGCCATAAACTAAAGCCTGTTCCCCAAGGCTTTTCCTTATATATAGGAAGCAGATCACATCCCTAAGGCAGCTACTCAGCTGCTCCAATAGATCCCACCATGGAGGTGATTACCAGTCTCATCATGAGGAATACTACAGCCAGGTGCCCAGCCATTCAACCAGGCCTAGCTAAGTTGACTCACAAAGTTAACCACTACAGATATACTTACTGTTGTTATTATTAGGTGCCAAGTTGATTTCTTGACACAGTGGATGCAACAATGGGCTCAGGTGTAGCAAGGATTGTGAAGCTGGCAGAGGACCAGGCAGTGTTTCAGTCTGTTGTACACAGGGTCAGGATGAATCTGAGCTGACTCAATGGCACCTAAAAACAACAACAAGAAGTTGATTTCAATTCATAGTGACCCCATGTGACAGAGTAGAACCATCCAGTAGAGTTTTCTAGGCTGTAATCTTTGTGGGAGCAGACTGCCAGGCCTCCTCCTGCATAGGACTAGATGGGTTTGAATTGCCACTCTTTCAGTTAGCAGCCGGGCTACAGTTGCACCCTTTTTTGAAGATAAAGGTATACTTATTAGCAGGAAAACAATGACACCTAATTTTAAACAGATTACATGCCCTGACTGTAGCAATAATAATAACCACCACCACCACCACTACACCTCAGACCACACAAAAGAACATGATGAGTGGTTAACACTGCCTTGTAAAGTAAGTCTGAACTTTTTCCCCTCTAGCTACAAGTGTGTCTTAACTTTTCTCAGGCTCTTCATATGCAGCCATTTCCAAGCACAGACTCCAAAGCTGAACTGTCTTCACTCCTCCTAAAGTTGGCACAGACTTAAAGAAACTCAGAATGCCAATAATCCTAGAGAAACAGAGGACATCTTAAATCGCAAATATTTATGAATAAGCCAGACACTGCAGTGTTGGACAAAATAGAGGAGCAGACTTTAGCCCCTCTTTGTGTTCTTCCATCTGAATGAGGTAACCTGCTAAGGTCAGGAGAGAAGGGTGGGAGAAAGGATTCTCTGGGTTGAAAGATAAAGAAAACCTGGCTCAAGAGGGCAGAAACAGGTCTCCTGTAAAATGAAATCTCAATTTCCTAAAGTGCACAGAGTGCAGATACAGCCCTCATTCTGACCTTTGTAAGATGTCATAAAATGACTTTCTGGTGGTGAGATTATTGCCCAAACCATGTCCTAATTGGAATCAAGGGATGTTAGACTTGATAAGGAACTCACAGTGCTAATCATAAAGACAAAATATTAAAGCCCAAGAGCACACTTTATCAAAGTTCAATCCAACAGCCTAAAACTTCAAAACAAAATAGGTCAAAGTAAGTCACAGCAGTTAACCCTTTCATGATCCATGGGACAGGGTGTTTACCTACATTTTCCACCTCGGGAGTTTAGTGGGAAGCTCTTATCCCACTTTAAGTGCATACTGCCATCTGGTGGGATCCTGTATAACTGCATGAATCTGAAGAAACAGGCCTTCTCCCACCAATCCTTGCACTAGAGACTCCCTGAGTATGTGTCCCATTAATTCAAATTCATTTTTAATTAATTAATTAATATTGTGATTTGGGTGAAAGTTTACAGAGCAAATTCACTTTCCATACAGTAGTTCATATACACTGTCTCATGACATTGACTACAATTTCCCATGATGCAACAGCTCCCCTCCCACTTCCTCCCTATGGTTACCTCTTCCCTGTGTCCTTCCCTCCATGTACTCTTGCCCCCTGACCTGTCTCCCTGTGCATATACAGCCCTTCTATTCTCCCATGATTGTTCTTTCCATGGAGTGTATCTGATCAAAATTTATTTTACCTCAAAACTTTTTTTTCATTTCACTCAAAATGCCTTCCATTACTGAAAACAGTTTTTTTTTTTTCTTTTTTAAATTGTGATTTGGGTGAAGATTTACAGAGCAAATTCACTTTCCATACAGCAGTTCACATGCACTTTGTCTCATGACAATGACCACAGTTTACCACAATGCAACAGCTCCCCTCCCACTGCCTCCTTATAGTTACCTCTTCCTTGTGTCCATCCCTCCATGCCCTCCTGCCCCCAGAGCTGTCTCCCTGTGCATAAGCACCCCCTCTTTCTTCCATGATTGTTCTCGCCAAGGAGTGTATGTATCCACCTTAGGTAAATGTTCAACTCATATACCTGTCTATTGTTTGGCTGGAAGCCACAGGCGTGTGTTCAATTCCAGACCTGAAGGGCAGCTAGGGGCCATAGTCTCATTGGTCCACCAGGCTCTATCAGACCAGCAAACCTGCGCCCTCTTTGTTTTCCTCCAAATGATTTTGAGTTTTGTGCACGTTGTTCTCCAGATCTCCTACAAAGATCCCCTTCCAAGTGGTTGGCAGTGGTAGTCGGGCACCATCTAGTTCTTCTGGTCTATTAGTCTTTTAGACTAATTTGTTTCCATGCTTCTGATTTTGGTCATTCTTCTTTGCTCTGAACTGGAGTAGACCAATAGTTGGACTTTAAATCACCGCTCACAAGCTTTCAAGAGCTCGGTCACAACTCACCAAAACCAAAGTAGAATATAGTCCTTTTGGACTATGTTATGTCCGTTGAACTTGATGTCCCCTGAGACTATAGTTCTGAGCCCCCAGGCCCAGTGACTCATCCTCTAAAGATATTTGGTTATGGCTGAAAAGGTTTCATAACTTTGCCCCTTTGTGTTCTAGTATGTATTTGTAACACATATAAATACGTAAAAATATCCACTGTCAAACCTATATATACACGTGGGTAGTTCCATTTGCCTTCCTATACGTATTCAGCTTTCATGTCTACATATCCACTCATAGCTCATTATTACTGTTACTGCAGGATTGCGTATGTTACGGTATTTACCTTTGTTGCCTTTAACGCTTGTGCTCCTCCCAGAGTCTTCCTTTGCCTCATCATTTCCTGGTAACCTCCCCTTTATTGTACATTGCTTTTCCCTTCAACCAAGTTAATACGTCTACCCTCTAGTTGTGATTTACCCTCCCTTCCCCTTCCACCCCTGGTAACCTTCAAAGAATGCTTCTTTCTGTAAATCTGTAAATCTTTTCTTGATTTTTTTATAGTAGCAGTCTCAAACAACATTTATCCTTTTGTGATTGACTAATTTCACTATTTTTGCTTTTATAGGTTTCATCAGTTATTAAAAGTGGCCCAGAATTTCAGTTAGATGCTAAAGCAATCCTTTGAGGAAAAAAATTGGAAATCTCTGCATTGCACATTTGAATGATCCAATTCTATTTTTAAACACTTTCTCTGAATGCCACAGGAAGGTGCCAAAGATATGGCTTTGATGATTTAGTTTTGCTATGTATCTTTAATAAGATCTGGTGGTGCAGTGGTTAAAGCATTCTGTTAACTAAAAGGTCAGCAGTTTGAATCCACCAGCCTCTCCACCAGGAGAAAGATGAGGTTAAGTTTGCCTCTGTAAAGATTTACAGCCTTGGAAACCTTGAGGCAGTTCTACTCTGTCCTACAGGGTCAGTAGGAATCAGAATCCATTTGATGGCAGTGGGTTTGTCTTTTGTTTTATATATATTTAATAAACTAGGTATATGTGCTGTTTTGGCATTCTTTCAAATTGATAAATACATTTCTTTAATAAATACCATGGTATGTTTAAGTATTTTGACATTTGCTTCTGAATTGTAAGCACATTAAGCGTCCAAAATATAACCAACAGTCATGGGTTCAGGTTCTAAAAAGCCAATTTAGAATGAAGGGACTTCCCTCAAAGTCTTAGGGTCTCTATATACCGGAGAAATCCGGTAGATTTGCTTTGTATTTTCCTTTAAGACTTAAAAATTATTCTACTTATTTCTTCTCAATGATTTTTGTCAGTTAAAAAGGTTATTAAATATTCATTTGTCCCCCTTACCACAACGCGATAGATTACTTGGCGACCTCTCGGGATACATTTACAAAAAAAAGGGCAAAGCCAGAGTCGAGCGAGTCTTGCATCAAGAGAAGTCAGTGGTGGCGTGACGCCCACGCTTCTTCAAAGGATTCTTGTTTCGTAGGACAGCAATTCCCAAAGTTCCCTCTCCTCACCCGCTGCGACAAAACATGTTTTAAAAATCCTGATTCCTGGGCCCTGTACTATGGCTATTGAATCAGGATCTCCTTGGATGGAAGCCGGAAATCTGCAACCAAGAGCCGCTGTAGGGTTGGAAAAGCGCAGCTGGGATTTCCACGCCCTTCTTTCCCGCGGGGTCGCGCGGTTTCTTGTCCTCCTTCCCGTGATGCCCCGCGCGGGGCCGCCGCTGTTGCCAGGCAACTGGCTGTCCGCGGCCCTAGCTGCTCCCGAGTCCGGGGCGATGGGACTTCCAGGTCTGCAACCGGTCCTGGTCGTTCTCCTGGGCTGCTGGGCCCCGGTAAGCACCCAAACTGGGCCTACTCCGGCGGTGACGACGGAGGGCCTCTACTCCGCGGAGGCAACCGTGGCGTCTTTCGGAGCCTCTCCATCATCTGGGTCCCCTGCCACCCCCACGGGGCCAGGCCCCTCTTTCGGTCCCAGGCCCACTCCGATCACCGACGGTGGGTACCAAGTGCCAACTTGAGGGGCCCAGAGTGGTCCAACCAGGGGAGGGTAGCCTGTGCGAGGATGTAAAAGGAATGATGATAGCTAACGTTTACTGAACACTTACTGTATGCCACACGTTGCTGATTGTTTCATGGGCGTTGTGTATTCGCCTAACAGCCCTGAGAGGTAGTTAGCGTCTGGCGTAGCGCCTAAGGCATTTGACTGCTAACCAGAAGGTGGGCGGTTCAAACCCACCAGCCACTCCTCGGAGGGAAGATTGGGTGATCTACTTCCGAAACCCAAGGAGGCGTCACTTTAAGCTCATTCGACCGGACGGCAGTGAGTTTGGTTTGCTTTTTTGGTTTCTACAAATGAGGAAACCGAGGCTGGTGCAAAATCAAATATTTGAAAGTACTTGTAACAAGTTTTGGACAATACTAATTTTAAAGGTAATACTTAGTGGCATCTGCTTCTGCAGCCGTCCAGAAGATGAAGTTTAATCACGTTTCTAAACAGTTGTGGAAATTAAATGGGTAGGATGCATTCAGCTTTTTTGCTTACTAAAGGGAAGCCTAAATTGTAGTTTATTAAATGTGACTAGGTCAAGGCCCTTGTCGACTTGAATTGTTAAAACTCAGGGTTCCTCCTGTTTTAAATTGGTTGTGAGAAAGTGTGAGGTGAGGAATTATGCCCACTTCTTGGCATTTATATATACAAAAAAACCAAACGCACTGCCGTCGAGTTGGATCCGACTCATAGCGACCCCTCCATGGATTTCCGAGGTGGTATCACTATGGAAGTAGATTGCTCAATCTTCCTTCTGAGGAGTGGCTGGTGGGTTTGAACTGCCAGCCTTCTGGTTAGCAGTCACATGCCTTAGGCACTACACCACCAGAGGTCCCTTTTCTCAGAAAGTGACCGTCTAATCTGAAAGTTACACATTTAGTGAGGAAAATCTCATCTGTCATGAATGACTTCAGGGGGTGTCTATGACCCCCTGAGATTAAGTGCAAAATCTTGTGAATATTCATTTTTCTGGGGTGAGGGTCCATAGCAACCAATAGATTTTCAAATAGATTGTTGTTGTTGTTGTTATGTGTCGTCAAATTGCCCCGACTCATAGCGACTCCTCCCTGGATTTCCCAGAGGGTATCACTACAGAAGTAGGATTGCCCAACCTTCCTTCCGAGGAGTGGCTGGTAGGTTTGAACTGCCAGCCTTCTGGTTAGCAGTCAGATGCCTTAGGCACTAGGCTGCTGCTGTTGTTGTTGTTATGTGCAGTCGAGTCGGACCTGACTCATAGCGACCCCTCCTTGGGTTTCCGAAGCAGTATCACTACGGAAGTAGATTGCCCCATCTTCCTTCCAAGAAGTGGCTGGTTTGAACCGCCAGCCTGCTGGTTAGCAGTCAGGTGCCTTAGTCACTATGCTACCAGAGCTCCCAACTAGGCTACTAGAGCTCCTAAATAGATAGCTGGGTAGATTTGATAGATTTTCTGCCTGTGAGGATTAAGAGTTAAATTGGGCAAGGGTCAGTATTAACTAGAAAAGTCATTATTGGCTCTAACGGGCCTCATTTATAAATTATGTTATTGGCTCTAACGGGCCTCATTTATAAATTATGAGAAGTTTGTAGTAAACAGTACAGTGAAATGTATTTGTTCATTGAATAGACATGAACAAAATTGTTTTATATTGAAACTGTTGATTTGGTGAGTTAATAAGTGAGAAGTTGTGACATAACACAGCAGAGTATTCAATACCCAAAATTCTCCAAGGTTTTTAGAGCAGACTGTCTTTTCCCTACGTCAGTCCTCCATCTATTAATGTACTTTCTCTCCCAAAGGAAGCGGTTCTTGCACCCTGGTTATTAGGGCTTGGGTTCAGGGCTCTTTCTCCATTATGGGGGATGAATTTATATTGATCTTCATTTTTTTAAAAGCATGCCTCTTTAGACCTATGACAGTATTGATGATTGTCATTTATTAACTGTTTACTATGTGGCAGGCACTGTGCTAAGCATTTCACCTGTGATATATTTCCCTTTGGCCTCATAACAACCCTATGATTGTTGTTGTTGTTGTTAAGTGCCGTCGAGTCATTTCAGACTCATAGCGACCCCTTGCACAGCAGAACGAAACACTGCCCGATCCCGCGCCAGCCCCACAATCCCTGCTATACTCGAGCCCATCATCGCAGCCACTGTATCAATCCATCTCCCTGAAGGCCTCACAGCTGGTAAGTGGTAGAGCAGGACGCTGGCTCTGAGTAGAGAACCAGACAGCCATTTGCGGCATGTGTTGCAGCCATTGTTGGCGGAAGAGAAGAGTGGTAACTGTTCATTTTGAATCTGAGTTCTGTTCATTAGTACCCTACTCCGTGGGGCAGGCACGCAGATGTTAAGAGGTTTGGAAGAGGAGCCTAGTGCTACTTAGACCCTTGGAGTACTCAACAAGATACTTGTTGGCTGATTAAGTATAAATTGTAGTTTATTAAATGTAGTTTATTAAACAGCCTGGCTAGAGACCCTTTTTTTTCCTAAGTGGGATTATTAAATACTATTGCTTTATACTTAGTACTCTTAACAGCTACCTCCAAGGGTTTTAAGTTCTAGAAAACAAGTTAAGATTGTAATTTTGTCAGGAAACCTTAATGTTCTTATTTATATTAGCTTATACAAGTTGCATTATTATTTTATTAAGCATACTGCCAGAAATTTAAGCTGACTTCAGAAAAGAACTAGGAACAAGAGATACATTGCTGATATCAGATGGATCTTGGCTGAAAGCAAAGAACACCATAAAGATGTTTCCCTTTGTTTTAGTGACTATGCAAAGAGGATTAGACTATATATCATAGCAAATTATATGTAACATTGAGAAGAATGGGAATTCCAGAACACTTAACTATGCTTATGAGGAACCGGGACATAGACCAAGAGGCCGCCTTTCAAACAGAGAAGGGGATATTTTGTGGTTTAAAATCAGGAAAGGTGTATGTCAGAGTTGTATCCTTTTGTACCATGCTCACTCAGTCTGTATGCTGAGCAGATAATCCGAGAAGCTGGACTGTGTGAAGAAGAATGCATCAGGAGTTGGGGAAGACTCATTAACAACCTGCACTATACACGTGCTGAAAGTGAAGATGACTTGAAGCATTTACTGATGAAGATAAATGACTCCAATATGGAGTACACCTCAACAAAAAGAAAATGAAAATCCTTGTAACTGGACCAATAAGCAACATCATGATAAATAGAGAGAAGATTGAAGTTGTCAGAGATTTCATTTTACTTGGATCTACAGTCAACACCCTTGGAAACAACAGTCAAGAAACAAGACGTTGTATTGCACTGGGCAAGTCATCAAGAGACCTCTTTAAAATGTTAAAGAGCAAAGATGTCACTTTGAAGACTAAGGTGCACAGGTGCACCCAACGTATAGTATTTTCAGTTGCCTCATATGCATGTGAAAGCTGCACAGTGAACAGGGAAGACCACTTTGAATTGTGGTGTTGACGAAGAATACTGGAAATAGCACGGACTGCCAGAGTAACCCACAAATCTGCCCTGGAAGAAGTGCAGCCACAATGCTCTTAAGAAGTGAGAATGGTCAGACTTCATCTCACTGACGTTGGTCAGAAGGAACCATTCCTTGGAGAAGGTTATCATGTTTGGTAAAGTAGAAGGGCAGGGAGAAAGGGGAAGACCTTCAACGAGACGGACTGACAGAGTGACTGCAATGATGGGCTCAAGCATGGCCAGGATTGTGAGGACAGCACAGGACTTGGCGGTGTTTCTTTCTGGTCCACAGGGTTGCTATGAGGCAGAGCCAACTTGATGCAACCTAAGAACAACAACAAGAAGCATGTGGGAAGTCCTTGGCTAGAGAGAAGCACAGAAACTTAAGGGGGAAAACATGTGTCTCAGACTAAGAAGGATTCTATTTCTTGACAAAACCTTCCCCTCTGGGAAAAAAAAAAAAAAAGGATGGTTGGGACCAGGTTTGCTGGTCCAATAGAGCCTGGTGGAACCACTGAGACTATGGCCCCTAGCTGCCCTCAGGTCTGGAATTAAACCCACTCCTGTGGTTTCCAGCCAAACAAAGTACAGCATGTGAGTTGAACATTTACCTCAAGTAGACACACGCCCTGGAGAGAACAATCATGGGAGAAGGAAGGGCTGCTTATACACAGGGAGACAGCTCAGGGGGCAGGAGTGCATGGAGGGATGGACACAGGGAAGAGGTAACTATGGGGAGGAAGTGGGAGGGGAGCTGTTGCATTGTGGTAAACTGTGGTCAATAACATGAGACAAAGTATATGTGAACTGCTGTATGGAGAGTGAATTTGCTCTGTAAATCTTCACCCAAATAACAATTAAAAAAAAAAAAAAAACTTCCCCTTCCATTCACTGACTCCCTTTTTCCAGACTTATGTCATTGTGCCTTGTTTGGGATGAATTTTTTGCGAGCTTATTTTTATTGTGAAATAATTAAAGCATACAAACAGGAATGTTTACATGGCTCTTCTACCAGCATTATTAAATCTTAACATTATGCCATATTTGCTCCTTTTATGAAAAAAGAAAACACAGATCAGATTGAAGCCTCATCTTACTCCATCCCTCCCAGTAGTCATCACGACCATGAACTCGGCAGATCATTCTCATGCTGTGCTATTTTTTTAAAAGCATTTTCCCCCCTGTATGTTTTCACAAAAAAATAAAAATCCAGATAAACTTCACTACTAATAATTAAGCGTTGTTAGGTAGGATTCCTACATGGAGACACACACACACACACCCCCTTCTTGCCTTGTCTGAATTACTAAGGGTCTTTGTAGGATCCAGGTACTAATTCGGACTCAGTTTGTTCTTTGTCAGTCACTCACCTCTGACGATGGGTTCAGTTCCAAGGCCGCAGGTTCTGTATGGAGAGAGGAACGGGATTGAAAACGCTTTTTCTTGGGTGGGTCCAGCCCTCTGAATCAGACACTCCAGAGGAGGGCTTGGAAAACTGCCGTTTCAAACAAGTGGTCCTTAAGGTCATGCAAGTGACTCAGCAGGCTGGTTCTTAAACCTGTCTTAATTGTAAGCACCACCTGGAAAGCTCCTGGAACTACAGATGTCTGTGTTTCCTGTTCAGCTTACCAAGTCAGTGTGTTGGTAGAACACAGATAAACAGAACTTACCTTGGGAGGCAGAGGGTTAGCCACTTTGGGGAACCTCTGACTGAGGGGTGCACAAATGGACTAATTTTCATTTCACACGTTTTCCCCAAAGTACAGTATGGAAAATAAAAGGGTGAAATCCATTTATGGTACATTGTAGTGGCAGTGGGCAGTCATTGCTTGCTGACTGCGATGCTGTGCCCCCCCCACTCTGCTTTCTGTAGTTGCTGCCCTGTGTGTCTGTGACTTGTCCCCAGCACAGTGTGACGTCAACTGCTGTTGTGATCCTGATTGCAGCTCCACGGATTTCAGCGTCTTTTCCACTTGCTCAGTTCCAATTGTCACGTAAGTTTATGACACAGTTTCAATAAAATTTGCAGTTTTAATAAAATTTGCCCAACATAATATTTGGAGACAGCAGCAGAAAAACTCAATCCTTAGTACTTTCTAAACCAATATATAAAGGAACTTCTATTCCTTATTTAGATTCAGCTAGATGATAGTGCGGGCAATAGAGAAGAGAGCTACATTTTTTTTCTAAGGAGTATAATGAAATCTGTCTGTGTTGAGAGACTGAGTTGCATGTTAGGTGGATTTTTAAACAGTGTTTTTGTATCAGTGAATTAGTCTTATGTATAGCCTAGGACAGACAGTACAGTTTAACTTGACAGTTTTTGTTGTGGACAGGACTTGTGATAAAAATTAAATAGTCAGGAAAGCTTTGTTTGTACTTATCTGTAATTGTAGCAAGAATTCTCACAGTTCACAATGTAGAGAAGGACAATTGGATGTGAGCTTCCCTGTCAATCACAATGTAAAGAAATAATCTCTTCTGAATGATTGGTTTCACATAGTTCAGATTTCAGAGTTTTCTGAAAGAATACAAGTACTCAGAAGAAGCTAATTTATTCAGGATGGGACTAACTTCTTGTTCAGAGATAGTCCATTTAAATTTAGCCTTTAGTAAGTTTTAGTAATTGATAACTTGAGAAGGTGCATCCTTTCTGGAAGCTATATAACGTATTTTTCCCGTGAGAAACTATTTTATTGACCAGTGGGAAATTGAATTTTCTTATATGTAAAAATGCTAGGAGAATGGGGTGTTGTAGTCAGATTAATTTTCTGGTTTCGTGGACTATAATGGGGTTCAGTCTGTTGTAAACTGTTCCATTCTCCTGCCTTAGGAAGGACAGGAACCCAAGTGTGAGATTTTTGCTCAGTCGTAGGAATGTTTGTCGTCTTATTGATTTTGAGGGCAAAATTCATTCATACATTCAACTCATTTTTAATGAGGGCAACTGTGTGGTAGGAACTGTGCTAGGTGCTTGTTTTAAATAAAATATGTATTCTTGCCCTGTGAAGCTTTCATCTAATGGGGTAAACAGATATCAACCCAATAACCTTACAAATAGTAAAATAGTACATTTATTTGTAAGGTGGTTGTGTTGATCTCTGTTTTCTACGTTAGGTGTAAGCTTCACAGACCAAGAACACATGTTTTATTTAAAACAAGCATCTAGCACAGTTCCTGGCAGAGTTGCCCTCATTAAAAATGAGTTGAATTGACCCATGTCACTTTAGTTTCATGTATTTCACTGTATATAAATTACATTTCAATAAAATATGCATAACACAACACATAAATTAAAAAAAAAATTAGTTGAATGAATTTTCCCCTCAAAATCAATAAGAAGACACATATTCTAATAAAAAAAAATGTTTAAAAGATTTTCCTCTCCACGAAGTCCATTGTGTTCTCTTATGGTCACAGTGGTGTGGATGTGCGTGTACCTTTCCAAAGGGAAGTCGCAGTCTAGCGCTATGTCTCAGAAGCCCCAGATGACGTACCTGCCTTTGACTCAGCAATTCCGCTTCGGGGGATATATCTCCAATAAGGAAATAATTGGAGATATTCATAAAGTTTTATGTGAAAGGATGGCATTATGTAGCATTATACATGACAGGGAAAATTAGCAACCACCTAACCCAACAGTAGGGAATTGGTTAAACAAAATTGGAGCCTATTAATAATCTGATACATGATGAAGCCATTTGGTATAATAGAGCCGAAGGATTTTTTTTCTTTATGTATTATTTTTCTTGCTGTTGAGAAAATATACTGCAAAACATACATCAATCAATCCAGCAGTTTCTCTATGTACCTTTTAGTGACATTGATTATGTTCTTCAAGTTGTGCACCATCCTCACGTTCCTTTCCTGACTTGTCCACCCCCATCAGCATGAACTGACTGCCTCCTAAGGTTCCTCTCTAATCTTTTGAGTTGTTGTTGTCACTTCAATCCCATTAGATTGTGAAAGAGCTCCGTGCTCAAGGCAGGCATTGTTTACTAGTTAAGGTAAACTAGTGTTTGGTTTTAAGAAGACTTCAGGGGATATTTTTGGTTTAAGGTTTAAAGAGGAGTTCAGGAAAGTAATTTCAGGGGTCTATCTGCCCTCTGTGACTCCAGAAAAATTCTGGTGTCTGTAAGAATTTGAAATTCTGTTCTGCATTTTCCCCCTTTTGATCAGGATTCTTCTATGGAATCTTCTATGTGTGATTGATACATTTACAACAACAACAAAAGAGAGAAACAAAGGAGTAGCTGCTGAGGCTGCTTATGTACAACCAAACATCTCATGGGATCTGGTTCCTCGGTTTAGAGGCTCAGAGTCATGGTTTCATGAAACATCCCAGTTAACTGGCCTAATGTGTTTAGCACTTCTGTTCAACATCCTAATTCACTGTGTAATGCCTGGGGTCTTAGAAGCACCATCCATTTCCCCATTTTCTCACGGGACCATCCATGGCAAAGGAGGCAGTTGTTTCCTGAGGCAGTTAGCCACAAATTCCATATCCTCCTCTTATTCCTCACTCTCCATCTTCCTCTGTTGCTCCAGGTGAATGGAGACCAAATGTTGTATGTTAAATGGCCACTTGCAAGCTTCTAAGACCCCAGGCATTACACAGTGAATTAGGATGTTGAACAGAAGTGCTAAACACATTAGGCCAGTTAACTGGGATGTTTCATGAAACCATGACTCTGAGCCTCTAAACCGAGGAACCAGATCCCATGAGATGTTTGGTTGTACATAAGCAGCCTCAGCAGCTACTCCTTTGTTTCTCTCTTTTGTTGTTGTTGTAAATGTATCAATCACACAACTTTTGCCAATTCAGCTTTTTACAGGTGAACAACTTATTGACAGCAATGACAGTTAATTGGCTGTGTAATGAATTAATACCTTAATTAAGTAATTACCCTTAATTAATGCTATTTTCCTATCACCATTACCCCCCTTTTCCCCCTCCCCCTCCCCCCGGGACCCATTAATAAACTCTTGTCTGTGTACTGCAGAAGAGTATTTGATAACGTGGGAAATATCTGAAAATGTAAGTTAGAAAAGGCTTAGTTAAAGCAAATGTGTACAATGATACCGTTTTTGTTATATGTCTACATCCGTACCATATGTATATGCCTTGGAAAAAGATTTGAAGTACAGATACCAAAATGTGGAGATTTCGCAGGTGTTATTTTTCAAGTTTTCTTTTGTAAGCATGTATAACGTTATACTTAGGAACCAAACCAGTAAAAACTTGACCTTGAAACTGCTTACTTGAGTCTTTTTAAATCAGCCACCGCATCCTGCTTTTCCGTATCTTCCATGGTGATGTTTGGTTGATCAGTGTGATTGGGGTTGGTCAGGTTTGTGCTTAGTTGGAGACCTGCCTGTGCCATACTTCCTTTGAAGACAGCCTTATTCTTAAGACAAGGAATTTTGGATGCTTTCCTGATCTAGTAGTCATAAACAATCTGAAGTTCCATAAGATTTTATATAATTGATTCTGTCAGCATTTACCAGGTTCATTTACATAAAAATTATACCTTGACCTATATTCCATACTTCATAAGATTTCCTTAAAATTGTTGTACTTGTTTTAATTTTTTTCCCTGTTAGAGAAAAATGTTTCAAATGCCAAACATTTTAACACTGAATAAACTAAATAAAAATGGATTCAGTTCTAACATCACGCCTTCGTAAATATCCTCCATGTAACTGTTAGCATAGTACAGTACAGGCATCTGACGGTTTTAAAATAATTTTGCTAACATTGTGTGCATATGCCTTAAAACTTGATTGCATTGTTATTTTTATTTGTAGGGGTGATAGCCAGTTTTGCAGTCAAAAAACAGCCATTTATTCAATGAATTTTACAGCAAATCCACCTCAAAGGGTATTTAAACTTGTCAATAAGATCAATCCATCTATTTTCTGCATTCATATTACAAACTGTAAGTATTTGCATTGATGATTTTGTGAAACTCCAGAAATTTTTTCTTTTGAAGTTATTTTATAGGAAAATTTTGCATTCAGTTAGCTTTAAAGCCATCATTCTTAGGGTTTGGCAAAGGTATGTCTTCTGAGGTGATTTCACAGGCAACTGCAAGTAACCTTTTAGAGCTGTACATGCACACAGTGTCAAATTACCCAGTAAACAAGGTAAACGTGGCTTACTTGTGCTTAGTTATTAATCTGTAGCAAAAGATTTCACATTTTTCACCGTATCAGAGTTTCTGCTTCTAGGTCTGGCTGGCATCTGTCTCCCTCCCAACCTCACAGCACTATCTTTTTTTTTTTTTTTTTTTAATTTTTATTGTGATTTGGGTGAAAGTTTATAGAGCATATTCACTTTCCATATAGCAGGTGACATACACTTTGTCTCATATGACATTCACAGTACCTTCTTACAGAAGAAACGCCCCTTCAAATTTACAGTCCCAGACAGGTCGGTACACCCAGTAAGCATGGTGAGCATGGGTTCACCCCAGATTGTTCACTACGGATTGCTGGGGACTGGTGGGGAGCACAGTGTGCTGGCCGTGCTCGTTGGGTAATGCACTCCTGGGCGCACACTCCTTCTTTAACAGTAATTGTGCTTGTCTAAGTTGGCTTTCAGCATCACACACTCCATTAAAAGGTGTTTATAATATGGAGACACAGATAGGAAGCTGGATTTATTTATATAAATGATGTTTTGGTCTTTTTTTTTTTTTTTTTAACTTTATTTCCTCTCAGGTTCAGCTTTGAACATTACCTGTGGTTTCTATTTCCTTTTTCTCTTTTATTTTTACTAAGAATATTTGCATGAAAACAGGACTTTTATTTTTATCTGAGCATTTACCTCAAATAGGTATCTAGGTCCAAAGTACATGGAAGTGTAAAATATTACCAAGACACTGAAGTTCACAGACACATTGACAGTTTTAGTTTATCTGTTGAGCTTGTTCATCATCTTTTCAGAATGTCTGTATATTTTGGCCCTGTTCTCTCATAACTGAACTGAGGTGCACGCTTTGTGATGTGTAATGTTGATAATGACTGGTCAGTTCGTTGCTCTGCTCTCTGACACGCCACCAACCCAGTGCCCACACCAACCCAGTGCCCACACCAGCCCTGTTCTTCTTTGTACACAGCACATTATTCTTCAGGGTTTATAAGGTGGCTGGGTGAGGTCAAAATGGGATTCTTTCATTCCCATACCATCAGAGAGCACCTCTCCTTTGAGGTATGTGCACCAGACTTGTCACCCCACGGGCTAGAGAAAGACTGATGACCGGTGGCTTCTGTTGCACTCTTTACCTGTAGGCTCTGGAAACCATTGCTTCACACTGTTGGAGAAACTAAGTCCGACTCTGGGGCTCCTATTTATTTAATAAGATTCACTGTGAATATGGGAGAGATCACATCAGTCTTAATGCTACTAAACACTTTCCAAAATATTATAAATGGATTATGTAATATACATAGTACATTTTATACTTTTTCCAAAACCAGATAAACCTGCATTGTCTTTTATTAATCCTGAAGTGGTTGATGAAAACAGTTTTGATAAATTAATGAGAACATCTGGTGGTTTTTCACTGAATGCAGAATCAGACATTTCTTCCACAACCAAACTGGATTCTCCTCATACTTCTGCTAAATATGAGGTAAGCCAAGGGTTGGTTAAGTCTCCTCTTTCAGTTGCACACATCCTGTCCTTGCAGGTTACTTTTCACGTTACCAGCAAAGTTGGCTCCTGCAAGACATGGAATTTATTCATGGGTCTCTGAGTCTGTGGTGAGCTTGCATTTTGTCTCTGAGAATTTTTGAACAAAGAACAACCTCAGAAGATGCAACAAATGGTTAAGGGATGCTGCTGGAAACAAGGAGTGGATTGGTCAGGCCTGGGCCTCTTCTCAGAATCAGTTAGTGTCACAAACTGTGGGAGGATGTGTGCTATTTTATATCTATTCATTAGTAATCCTTTATGTGTGATAATATGTTAACTTTGAATAAGCTTTTAAAAGCCTTTTTTTTTTAATTGTGATATGGGTGAAAGTTTACAGAGCAAATTCACTTTCCACACAGCAGTTCACATACACTTTGTCTCATGACCTTGACTGCAGTTTACCACAATGCAACAGCTCCCCTCTCACTTCCTCCCCATAGTCACCTCTTCCCTGTGTCCGTCCCTCCATACACTCCTGCTCCGAGCTGTCTCCCTGTGCATACACAGCCCTTCTTTCTCCTCATGATTGTTCTCTCCAAGGAGTGTATCTACCTAATGTAAATGTTCAGCTCATATGCCTATCTTTTATTTGGCTGGAAGCCACAGGAGTAGGTTCAATTCCAGACATGAAGGGCAGCTAGGGGCCATAGTCTCAGTGGTTCTACCAGGCTCTATCAGACCAGCAAACCTGGTCCCTTTTTTTTTTTTTTTTAATGATTTTGAATTTTGTTCCACATTGTTCTCCCACTCTATCCAGGATCTCCTACATAGATCCTCCTCTGAGTGGTTGACAGCGGTAGCTGGCCACCATCTAGTTCTTCTGGTCATGGTCATATAGGCTGAGAATTGCATGGTGTACCAGTCACTTGGAGTAATTGCTTCCATGAATCTTTGGTTTTCTTCATTCTTATTTGGTCTGGTTTTAAAGGCTTTTTTGGAGGCATATGTTTTAAAAGAAAAGTATAAAAGCAACAGGAACTAATTCTAAGAGTGAAAAATAGTTTGTTGTTATTATGTGCTGTCGAGTCGGACCCAACTCATAGTGAGAAGGGGGCATTCTGAGTCCTCAACAAGCTCCTTGGGTTGCCGAGGCAGTATCACTATGGAAGTAGATTGCCTCATCTTCCTTCCAAGGAGTGGCTGGTGGGTTTGAACCACCAGCTTTCTGGTTAGCAGTCAAATGCCTTAGGCACTACGCTACCAGAGCTCCCTGAAAAATAGTTATATACAGTAAAAATAGAAAGGCTCCCCCTTTCCGTTAAAATTCACATGGGAAGTCACTACTAAAAGATTGGTTTGTATTATTCCTGATTCCTAAATGCATCAATAAAAATATGCACATGGTATCATAGAGAGGTTGCACTTGACTACTTACTTAAAGGTTAGTGGTATGAACCCACTCAGTGGCACCACAGAAGGCCTGGCAGTCGGCTTCCCTATGGTCACAGTAACAACAGCAACAACAACCCTATGGAGCATTCTGCCCTGTACCACGGGGTCCCCGTGAGCTGGGTGGGTTTGGTTTGGGTTTTGGATATTGTGTGCAAGTTGGATTTCTGGTTACCCACGTCGTTTAACGGAGTCCCTGGTGTCGCAGGGACACAGAGTGCTTGGCTTGGCTGCTGACTGAGAGGTCAGAGCTTCAGGTCTATGCAGAGCGCCTCGGAAGGAAGGGCGGCTGACCCGTTTCTGAAAAGTAGCCTTTGGAAACCCTGTAGAGCATAGCTCTACTCTGACACACGTGGGGTCACCGTGACTGGATGGCAACTAGTTTATCATCACCCCAGCCCTGGCCACTGTGCTTCTGTCTGTGGAGGCAAACGCTTACATCAGCTGCTTGGGTATCATCCCGGAGGAACTCCGTGATCAGAGAGCCTACAGATACAGTAACATACACACACAGATACATGTCCTTAGAAAAGAGGGGAGGGGCTCAGATGTAAACTCCCGGGGGCAAAAACCTCATCTGTGTTTTGCTCATCACTGTGTCCCCGGTGCCTGCAACACTGCCTGGCACATAGTAGGTGCCTATCGGTGTTGAGTGAACGACTTGATAACCCTGACAGCCTCTGGTTGTTCTTCTGTTTACAGTATGGTGTTCCTCTGCAGACCCCTGGCTCCTTTCTGAGGCTCCCTTCTCCCCTTACATCGTCTCTGTGCACTGATGATAACCCTGCAGGTGAGAAGGGGGCATTCTGAGTCCTCAACAAGCTCCTGACTAGAAATGGCCTCAGGGCTTAGCCAGGCCAGTTTCCTACCCTGGGCAGGAATCTTTCCCACCACACGCAGTCTCCGCTTGAGCACTGCCGGTGATGGGAAGCTCACTACCTGAGAAGGCCCCAGGCAGATGTTGGCCACTTCCTGTTGTTGGAAGGCTCTTTTTTTTTTTTTTTTTAGGATTTGGGTGAAGATTTACAGAGTAAATTCACTTTTCATACAGCAGTTCACATATACTTTGTCTCATGACATTGACCAAAATTT